AACCCCTGTGTCACTGTGGATCGTGATTCAGCTTAGTGTAAAATTGATCAAAATCCATTTCCTATATCGTGAGAAATGTGCTGGTTATTAAGCTAAAGTATTTATCCTTATATATGCAATTCATGACGATATTGATCGAATATAAATCTAATTTTTTTCTAAGTAAATACGATATATTTATCTAATAATTACACAATAGTTTCTTCTTTGCCACAGCGAGTACCGTCAAATCGACCAAATAGTTTTACATTTGTCTGCTAAAAAATTGCCCAAAATCTAGCTACAATTTGCGTAAAGAGAACATTTATCATCGTTGATTATTAAATTGTCAACGTACTATATACAGAGTATTAAGTTTTCTCGTTTGTTCCCCTCTTAACAATTAGCACCTATGACACAGATCTTTCCTCGAAGAGCTAAAAAGCTTGGCTTGATAAACGAGTATAGTTATTCTGGAGCGGATCAGCTTCGCGGTGTTTCGCCGTTACTCGGCCTACATTTCTACCTGTTTTTTTTTTATGGAGACTTTAATCCTTTTTTCGTTATACTTCCAGCTACATGCTGTACGTACAGAGGTAGCTCTAAACACAGAAATGGTATATGCTGCGCGTGCCACAATGCAATTTGGCTGGTTGTTCCTCTTTCTTCCATGGAAAAATTACTCTATAATCTGCCGCTTCAGCAGGAGGCAGCAGAACCAGTGGGGACTGATATTTCTAATGGGGATAACTGGTACTGACACCGCTGCGCAAAGTGCTAGAGTGCCTAGACGAATTTTGCCTTACCTACGACTGTCTATATTTGCCTTTGCTGGGAATCACGTGCAGTTATCATTATGATTACAAACGGGGTATGGGCTGAGTAATAAACAGCAAGCCTACCCACGAAGTTTACTGGTTTTGCTACTGAAGCGCCGTTGCCGCCACCGCCACTACCAAAAATACGAAAACGGCACAAAAGCCAGTCCCAATGGATAAAGGTACAAACAGTTGGGGTTTACAATAATTTGGGCACGCAGTAGGCTTAACACAGAGACGCACATGGGAAAGTAGACTAGCCTCAATATATTCCCCGTATTGAATCTGACATAAATTTTCAATGAATATGCCTGGTGGAAAACATACGTTTGAACGTGATTTGTCTACATTGTTTGGCTATTTTTTTTTCTATTTGAGTGCAGACCTTCCGTTCAAAGCGTTCTTGCCTGTGCCTTGAATTCAAAGAGTACCATATCAATGAAGCCGAACTGTATAATGGCAGAAATGCCAGTTAGATGAAACTTTATGCAAAGGGATCGTTACAAGCTTGAAATTTACATAAGAAATTACCTGGTTGTCCGAGAACATTTGTTATGCATATTGAACGGATAGTTATTGTGAGGTATACGAATCACTTGCTACTTTTTAGCTGTATGTTTTTATGCAAATACAAAAAAAAAAAAAAAGAAAAATACTTTTTCTTCTTCTTGGTCAGCTTGCGGATGATTCAAAGGTATTGCCTTTCTGCCATAATCACGAGTGTCTAATATAACTTCGATAGTAATAGAACTGTCATCATCGCGATTCTACTACGCTGCGCTAGATAATTGCAATTAAGTTTAATTTCTTGACAAATATGGCGTAAACAATCGAAAATCTAGATTTGTAGATGCTTTTCCACTACCTGGACGGACTGTCATGGAGTTCAGGAAGTAGTTTTACTTCGTTAAATATGAGGGCTGTAGTATTTACATAGCCATGTGTTACCTAAAGCACATCATGGAACTAATCTATTTAATGTAACAATATTAAACTGTGCTTCAGTAATTAGACAGTATTGCAACAGTCAGAGGCCGGGAGGTATAAATTACTCATTGACAAGAAGAATGGAGTCCGTTTATTAGGTCATTATCGAAGATTCATTGTGAACATGATATACTTGGAAAATAAAAATTGAAATCCGTCAAAATGGTGCAACGATTTTTAGCGAAATATTCCGTTAGAATCACTCTACAGAGCCTGTGGTTCTCTATAAAAATCTTCTTATTGAAACCGCTTTTTATAGTTTGTTTTTTTTTATGGCATATCATTTCCCTCAGAAATATATCATATCGGCTATTTAATTCCTTTAACCCTTTCTATAAGAACATTGAATTTCATAGAAACACGTAAAGCTGTGTCGGCGAGAAAATATTAGCGACATGTTTAACACAGGACCTACTGACATTTGTTGTATGCCTAGCCCTAGCGCGCCGAAAACGGCCAGGTTGACCTGTCTGTCCCTGGCTTAATGTCAGGACCATTTTAAGAAGGCGTAATTTTTAAAGGATAATTAGCATTCAGCTTCTCCGGGCAGACGGATAGATTAATTTTTATGATTTAACATTATTGCCTATTTGCTAATTAGGAATGAAAGTTTTCTACTATAAGTACATAAATCTCATCAATTATATATATATATATATATAAATAAATGAGATAGAAGTATGTCTCTTTGATTTTTGCAAAAGCTCTGCTTGCCATTATCCGCGTTGTGTATGTACGTGGCAGTTAAAGACGAATCATCACTTCGAGCACTTTTAAATGGTTCGTCTGAATAAAACAGTTGCTCAGAATTTTACTTGGCTTGAAGCTCTTTCAATGCAGTTTTTAATACAATTCCTCCAACACAATATCGTACTGGTAAGCGACAACTTTATAATTAAATTTTTTTTTTGAGTTATTTATAAAAAATTATAAATTTAATCTACCTCATTTGCTTTCTAGCTAGATTTACATATAAATCTACTTAGAGAGTGATCAAGAAAATACAGGGTTATCCCTACAAGAATTCTTCCATAGTATATAAGCATAGGTTATTAGAGGAGAGGTGAGACACAGGGGGAAGGAGCCACATGTGGAGGCTGCGCGACTACGGGGTCGAATGGGCGCACCTCGCTGCTTGCGTACTAGTGAAATCCAACGGTATTCTAGAGTCTTATCTTCCGAGGCACACTTCAGGTACCCGAGAGTCGGCCAAGAAAGCTACTCATAGACAGCCAAGATGTGCAAATGTTTAGTAATATCCAATACGTGCAGATCTTCAGTAATAAAACAGTGCAATTAATATGCAGAGTAGAACTGCAGTTCTAGCTAAGGCATGCTCCCCTCATTCATTGAGAACTCGAAATAGAACAACATACGCCACTAGTCATCGTAAATCACTATCTAGCAGACGACGCTGAATGCGTGCGTTACAATCTACCAAATTTGTTCATGTTGGGTATCGAACATCGAAAATCCGCTATTTTTCACAGCTGTCCTAATTCAGAGCGACAGGTACAACTAAACTGTAGCAGCCCGGAAAATGGCCAGAGTTCCACTCAAAGGGACACATTTATTTTTGCCTTCTTGTTCACAGCGTAGCCGAACGTTTTCATTTACCGAAACGTCTTTGTTACTGTCATCCATGACACGTTGAAATTTTGCTGTGGACGCTTTCTCCAGCTGAGACTGCTGGAAGTTTCAGTCAATTATCTAGACTTTTACTAACACTGGCAAAAGTGACAAGGAGTGGAGAACGATATCCAGTGACGCAATGGAACTGTCAGGAAGCGCTAGATAGGAGGCAAGGAAGTTTCACAGATGACGTGACCAATGCTGACAATCATTACGATGATATAATACCTTATCTGAACCAGCTATTGGTCCGACTATGCATTTTTATCACTGATTTAACACGTCACTAAGCGAGAAATCATTATCTGTAATTTCAACTATTAAATTCAATGAAACATGGATATTGATTTGGGTAAACCAAAAGATTCAGCTTGGGATTGTTACCAAAAAAAATTCTAACTGATCAAAAATTTTTTGATGAAGGACGATAAAGTAAGTAGAACGCGGATTGGTTTAGGCAGAAAAGGCGAGGTATACTATAACGGTAACAGTATTATAGTACGTAGTTTGAAGGCTATAATACTATTGCAGCTTTAGGTGGTGTCAAATATGTTTGTCAAATAGAAGCTCACAAAAGCTTCTTCCAGTCACGACATAACTTTATA